GTCAGTAATTAACTCTATAGGACATCCTTTTAATTCACTTACAGTGTCCAAGAAAAAGGCAGCTATGTTGTCAGGTGAGTTATTTGACCTTGTCACMTTGAGCCAGAGAATTTTTCGACTAAATCCATCGATGGCACCGTGGATAGGGAAACCAAACGGCTTAAGTTTATCATAACCATCTTGGTGCCATGAAAAATTGGRCCCAGGATTAATATACTCCCTTCGTTTTAGACGATTAGCTTTTCTTAGTTCAATGCCTTCTGGATSAAGTTCTTTCATTATTTCATGGACAACAACCCTGGGTACTCTTAAGCCCTCCAACTCGAGGGTATGCCATACAGACCGATATCCAGCTGATGACCCCGGCCCACTTATAATGTGACTAATACGCCGCCTAGCCTCTTCAATTAATCCGTCTGAATTTACTTTTGAAAAAAAAAATGTTTCCAACTTAGTCCAAATAATTTTAAGCGTCTTAGCAATGTACTGTAACTAATTGTGATATTGTGGCGTTTAGAAAGTAGGAGAATGATTTCATCATACGTAAAACCACATTTGAAATAGTACTCCAGCAAGCTCTTTTCATCTAAGCCTTCATCATCGGAATCTGTTTCATTATCATCTTCAACTTCTTCAGGAATTTCTATTGAAAAAAATTATTCGTGATTATATCATTTTTTAATCATTAAAATTTGTATAACCCCCAAAAAATCCGTAATTATAACCGTAAACATATACGCACTTAGATTATTAAGGTTTATACTTGAACTCAAATACATGTAATTCTTGGGCTACCTGYGTAATATTCGTTGCAAATCAATCATCGAACGCATTTTCATTTATTTTGCAATTTAACAGCTGTATTAAATGCTATACAAATAGTGATATGGGGCATGTTCTAGGATAATTATATACAGGGAATATTGTGCTGGAGCTAAATACAATGCAATAATATGCATCTGTTACAATATAGAACATGTGCACATTAAAGGAGTACAAAAAGCCGGCTAAAACAACTGGATTATCGCGTTCATATGCATAAAATGCTTACCTTTTCCACAAACATTGCAATACTTGTCAGAATTATTTCTTGCAGTTCCACATTGAGTGCAAAACATGGCTTAAATTTAGACAATAACACAGCAAAAACATAAATGTGCTTGCGAGTGACAACGAAGCGGAGGAGTGAGCCTGGTCCTTAGAAAGCTGAAGCCTCTGACCACGTGATTTTTGTGTGTGTTGTGCCGTGAGATTTCTGTGTTTTGCCGTGAGTTCTGTGTGGTTTACCGTGAGTTCTGTGTGGTTTGCCGTGCGTTTTGTGTTTTGTGCCGTGAGTTTTGTGTGTTGTGCCGTGAGTTTTTCGTGTTGTGCCGTAAGTTTTGTGTGTTGTGCCGTACGTTTTGTGTGTTGTGCCGTGAGTTTTGTGTGCTGTGCCGTGAGTTTTGTTTGTTGTGCCGTAGATCTGTGTGTTGTGCCGTGATTTCTGGTTTTTGCCGTGACAGTTGTGGGCCACCGTATTCAGGAATGTTCTGCCAATGTTCGTCTTAACGTTTTTACTGAAAGGAGGGTTGTACCATATAATGTTTCTTTGTCTGTTGCGTCGGGGGCGTGCTGGTTGATTGTCTTTGTTGTATATTGTGTTGCAGAGTGTCCGCTGGCTTTCAGAGCAGTTTCGTAGATTGGTTTGGCCTTGTTAAATTCGTGTTCGTTGCATGAGTTGTCGGAGATRCGGCGRTTGATGKATGCTGGRAGYTGYTTTAATATGTTAGGCGGGTGGTTAGACTTTGTGTTGATGTGCAGTGGTTCGTTGTTCGAATATGATCAAAATACTTCTCGTATACTCCTTCAAGATCCAAATTACTTTTAGAATGATTGTAGGAAGACCATTTTTGGTTTTTAATGCTCAAAACAAATAAGTCTCCTGACCGTTAATAAATACACAATATGCAAATTTATTCGTCTCGCCGCTAGAAAAATATGCCGATTTTGTCTTACTTTCGGTTAGCGCATCTACACGCAAAATAATTTCCCTAAGAAAATTTCAACTGAACCGAAAAGTCCACTCTTTCTAAAGTATTTTAAAAACATTTTTTTTAAATATTATATAGCACATAGAAATTTTTTTTTACTTTGTGCATACTTTCAAAGAGCATTTTTTACATCTCACTCGAGAATAAAATCAGCAAAAATCTAAATATTTATCAAACCGGCTTTCTAAAACTTTGCAATTTGAGTTTTAAGATAATAGTACAGATCGGCGTGAAATTTGCATATTTGTGTCAATAACCATCTTTCTCGATTTTCTCGAAAACTAAGTCGTATTTCATCAAACTACACAGCATCCATTCTTATATTAAGGCCGCTATCTAGATCTATGGTTAAAATATGAGCAGATTCGGTTTTTCGACCGAAGGGGCTAACTGCGTCAGGAAGCCTGGCGTTTAGCAATAGATTTTGTTTTGAAAAGTCGTCGAAACAACCGTAATTTCAATTAATAGAAGGTCATAGAACAAGAAAAATGGAATTAAGACCGAAATAATACTGTTCGACAAGATTGATACACAAAGCACGGCACTTTGGCATTGAGATTTTTCGATTGCTCGAGCTTTAGACACAGACACTAAACGTCAGGCAATCGATTTATTATGGAGTTTATAGATTTTAAAGAATACTTTTTTACTTGTTTTGATGTTCGATATCACTTGTGTAAATTCTCGCGCGTTGATTTGAGGACAAGAGTGTATCAATAATACAAGAGGACATAGCGAGACATGCCCCCACACTGCTTGGAACAGTTATGTTTCAGCGAAATCTGTTCTATATAACACCTTGTAAACTATCTCATGTAAACACGATCTAAGACTGTGTACTCACCAGGCCCGTCCGCAGACGAATCACAGCTTTAAGAAGTCCAAAAAGAAGTACCCATGCAAAAACTGACGAATACAAAATCGTTAAAGACCTTGACTTCAAAATAATTGATATAGACAGAAGAATAGAGTACAAAATAAGAAGAAAAAACAAAAGTATCACTGGGATTGATGACAGGACTAATACAGCTTTGACCCAGTTAGGAAGTCTTACGCCAAGATGCTTGACTCGCCAATATCTTGTCCACTGCTGGGAGATGAAAGACATATTATCGAATGTGTTACACTTTCAAACAGCTATCCAGAGGAATAGAACTAATCGGCTAACGCGTTGCCAAGTACTAATGAACAACTTCTGTTTCCAAGAATTCAACTCGACTGAAATGAAAATACAACGAAGGATGAAACTTACTCCCCGGGTGGTTTGGTCTATTAGTTATTTTACTATAGAAGTCAGGGATTTTCCCTCTGCTACGTGTACAAACTGTTCTAAAGACTCATATAAGGACTCATATAGTAGAAGAGACAGAAGATGGGACGAGAACTCGTAAGGGCGGAAGTCATGCAGAAGTTACACTGATAGAACCACGGGTAGCCCAAGCTCTTTACTTGATATAAGAGAATGTATGTGAATCTATGTAAACAGTTGATTTA